ATGCACAGAAGTGTGAGAGACCCATCGATAACTGTCTGCCCACATTCAGACATAGTCTTTGAGAAACTATTGTATGCTAATTCTTATTCTAGGCATTGAGAATATGGTGGTGACTAAATCAGACACAGTTTTTGCCTTCATGGAATTTACATCTTAGAGAGGGTGATAGTGGTGATGGGGGTGTGTGTGTTGTGTGTGTGTCCGTGTTGGGGGAATGACCAATAAAAAATAGTTACGCATGATATATGATAATGAGGTAGGGAGGGCATCACACAGTTAGATCAGTTTCTAAGCCCCCATCCAGCCCAGTGGTTCCGGCCACTTGGCATCACAGCAAGCACTAGCAAATGCAATTACACACCAAGGTAAGATCTCAGGAATTGCTACCTGAGGAAAAGATTTTGCCTTGAAGACAGAAGTTAGCTAAACTGCAGGAAAGGGACTTCATATCTAGAAGTCCTCTCAGGGTATTTCATAGTTTGCCAGCTGTAGCTAGAAGCTAGGACCAGGCAGAAGAGTTGTTCAATCATCAAACATTTTCACCCGATTATAGAAATGGGCCTGGTAAAGGATGGGGGGAGGTAATTACCTCCTCTAAACTGGTAACAGTTGACTTGCATGACTTAATAAGGCTCCCCTTCAGGGAGGTGCAAGCAGGGTGAAAGAGAATGAGAAGGAGAAATCCATAATAGCTACAAGATCAATTCCCAGCAACTCTGTCAATCTTGTGCGATTTTCCTTACAGAGTTGACTCCCGTGGATCTTCATGCAGACACTTTGGCGGTTAAGCCTGTGGAGCCTGGGATACTGTTTTCTACACAGGGATTTGGCTGGCTAATGCTAAGGGCAACAGTGTAGATGAGTGAAGATGAAAAGGATAAGCAGGAAAAGAGCTCTCTGATCAGCAGTTGGGTGAATCTGAGAACTGGGAACCTGTGTACAGGGAGGGCCAACTGCACTTCATTTTGCACGTTTTGCTGGCAAAAAGTTCAAACTTCCATAAAGGTAACTAAGTAATACAATGGACTTTCAAATATACTCACCACCTAACTTTAGGAGTTCTTTTGCCTTAGTTTTTATTTTTAACCCTTTGAAGGATTTCTGTCCAAAGCACATTCCCCACAATGGGTGTCAGAAAGTCATCCATGTGCGAATGACTAGTAATGAGATGAAACTCTCTGTGGAAGATGCTAGATCTTCCTTGGTGCAAAACGTAGGATAGTAGCCCCCAATGCCTCTCTCTTCATCAAGGTTGGAGCGAATAGGACTCCCTTTTGAAATAGGGCTCTCCCAGAAGATTGTTCTCTGACCCCTTGACTCCTTCTGTTCTTTACTCCCAGGGAGGTTGAGGGGCATTAGCACAATAATACATTAGATTTGTGATAAGAAGTGGTCAGCACTGGTCATAGAGAGTCTGATTATTTTGTAGAAACTAAATCTGAAGGATCGGAGAAGACAAGGTGAACAGTTTTCCTGGCTGTGACATTATGCGACAAAGAATAAGATAAGTCAGAATTCTGGAGCAAGGGCAGAGAATACAAGTGAGGTGGGGAGGGAAAAGTGACAAAATGAAGGTCTCTGGGCACTCATCTGGGGACAATGAGACCGGAACTTTGAATGTTCCCCACCACGATTACTTGTGTCTCAGTAACCACTGTGGTCCTGAGGCCTAGCACCGTTTCACCAAGAGTTGACTGTATCACAGCAAAGATTCAAGTAGACTTCAGAAACTATTTTGGTCTCATTAGTAGAACAGATGTTTACTTTAAATGCATTTCCATACTGAAAATGGTTTGTGATTATGCAGCTTATCATTATCCCCGCTTCCTGTTTTCATGACTCCATGTCTTTCGAGTTACCTTTGCATTGCCCTTCTGAAATGTAAGATGTCATTTCCTAGATCAGTTATACCAAGAGCTCCCATTTAGACAGAAGTTCTTACCATAGCCTGCCATGTGAGGCCTTCTGGCTTACTGGCCTTGTCTTCTCCTCCTGTGTCAATTCCTGGCACTTCCTTCCTTATACCTTGTATCCCAGCATTATTGAATGGGATGCTGGTTGATAGCAACATTACTTATCCCTAAATTTCCCCAGAGTCCATGAAAAGATAACCCAAGTCTTCTATAATATCATCTTCTTTGCAAAGACATCTTTGATGCTTGCAGGCAGAACTATTGATATATCTTCTGTGCTGTTACATATTTTATACTTTTTTTATTTTACATTGTTCTGAAGTTGTTTTGGTTGCTTTTTGTAATAAGAGCCATGAGACTTTTGAGGAAAGATGCTGTGTCTTATTCAATTTTATTGCTATGATGCCTGGTATTTTTACTGGTGAATGGCATTTAATATTAAGCTAAACTTTTGATCACAAACTATGAGTAATCAAACATTGCTCGTTGAAACATTTCTTTATGCTCCATATCGATGACAGCTCTGATATGTAAATCATTTACCTTGTTCTAAAGAAGTTAACACTCTATTTGGTAAAGAAAACACACATATCTAATAAAATTGAACCTAACAATCTGAAAGATGCGATGTTACACTTTGGAGTGAACGTTGAACATGGCACGTCACAAAGTATTTAGGGACCATCACATTAAAGGAAAATGAAAAGCCCATGAGTTTGTGAAATATGGTGGTACTTTGCTATGCCTGAGTTATTGTGCAAAGAACAAATGTATTCTTAGGCATCCGTCTTAGAAATCATGTCTTGAGATAAAAATTCTCCAGACATATACACTTAGAAACTTTCTTTTTGAAATAATCGGATGGCATTGACTATGCTGATTACTTATATTTACTTTTAACAATATTGCTGATACACACCACAGTGGTGGCCTTTCCTCCTTTTTTAAATACATCAATTACTCAGTGTATATGTTTGAACACATGATCCTACGTGAACATCACATATCAGAATAAACTTTAGCAAAAACTCCACACTAATTATGATTAATTTGGGAAGCATCATAGATACATTATTCAAATTTAGACATGCAATTTGGATTTTATAGTGAAAATCATGGTGCACATTTAACGGGGTTATTTTTTAGTGGGTTACTAAGAATGAATTTTGCTAGAGTATCCTTATGTTCTGAAAGAGAAACATACATTTTTTCTCACTCATTTAGCTTTACAGTCTTGATACTCTGGGTAGTTCAGAAAGCAAGAGAATTTGCATCACTCAGAAGCCCTTTAGGAATGTAGAATTTCCAGTACATTTCACCATACTGATTCAGAATCTGTTCTCAAACAAGATCCCCAGGTAATTCCTATGTTGATTAAAGTTTGAAAAACACTAAATTAGCCTGAAATAAAGGGATCCACCCAATTCCATTTTGCAGGTAATGTTCTTTATGATGCTTTTTGATGTTAAGGAATTTATTTATGATAGAGGACACAAAACCCATGTTACTGAAAACCTATCATGCCCCATCTATGGTATTAGACAGTAAGACATTTAATCTTTCTAACATGTTCTGAGACAAGGGGCACTACTTCCGTGTCTCTGGGCTTGAAAACCACCAGCCTCAGGTTAAATACCTGCTTTATCCTACACGGTCGATTCACTCAACAAATGTTGAGCATCCTCTTCCTAAAAGCCCCTGAGTTAGGCCTGGAAATAAAATGAGCATGGCCTCTACTGATACGGAATGTACAATATGATATTGTAATGAGACAAACACAACGAAAATGCAAGGCAGTCTATGTTTGGAAGAGGGAAACTTAAACTTTCGAAAGTTATTTAGGGAAACCTCATATTTGGAAAAAAAGGATCTAAACTAATTTCCGAGGAGCACATTTTTTTTTTGTAAAATGACTCTGAAAACAAAACCAAACAAACCCCAAAACCAGGTGAGTGTGCCATGGAGTCCAGCAAGGGGGATCCAGCAGCAGTTGAGGTTGGACCATGGCAGGAATCCTGCAGAATTGTGTAGAACGAGGTGCAAATGTTGGAACCTAGCCCGGAATGGGAGGAAGCCTTTGGAGGGCTTTCAGCTTTTAAGGTGACAGGCCCTGATCCCCATTTGGAACGGCTCCGCGGTCAGACCCAGCGCGGCCCCGCGGGCGGGCGGGTGGGTGGGCGATAGGGCCACTCCCCTCCGCTGCCTTTCTCCACCCCAGTCGCCGCCTCCTGATTCTCAGCCTCGCCGTCCGAGGGGGGTGGGAAACGAGAGATAGGGGCGGGCGAAAGAAAAACACTCTCCAAATATATTGAAAAGAAAACATCGCCTTTGGCAGCGAGTGCGCGGGAAGTTCAGCGCGCGAGTTCCGGGTTTCCCGCCCGCCCCGCCGGCCGCACCGGGTGAGCCCCCCGACCCCGCTCCGCGCCGCCCGCCCGCAGCGTCCATCCCCGCGTCCGTCCGTCCGTCCGTCCGCCTCCCCATCCCCCACCCGCCTTCCGCGGGCCTCGCTGGACCTGCGGGTCGGAGACCAGCGGAGGGAGGTTCGGGTTCCCGCGGCCCGCGGATTCCCCGCCGCAGCGCGCATCCGGGCGCCTGCAGAACCCGGTCCCCTGCGGCTTCGGGGTCTGGCCGGGCCCCGCGCTTCGCGTCCGGGCCGCGGCCTCCTAGGCCACTTGTGGAGCTCCAGTCCCCACGGCTGTAACTCTAAACCAGCCGGAGTGAGGCCTGTTTTTACTGGGAAACCAGCCACCGGAGCGTGAGTGCGGAGCGCCGGGACTGCCGGACTGCGGGCCAGCCCGCCACTTGAAGCTTTTGCGCACCTTGGCCGGGAAGGCGCGTCTCCTGCCAGCCCCTCTCCGCGGTTTGAAAGTTCTGTCGCAGGTTTCCAGGGAGGGCCTGGTTGGTTGCCGGGGGGGCCTTTTGATGAGCATCTGAGTCTGGGGGAGCTGTCGTCTCTGAGCCCCATCTCTCCAGCTCTGAGCTGTGAGCCCAAGGACACCAGGCTGAGTCCGGGCCCAGGTGTGGCTTGGCCACCCTCCTGCAGGAATATCTAGCTGTGAGAGCTTCTGGGGACAGGCGCTCGCAGTTGGGGGGGCACCAGCAACATGAGCATCGATGCCAAGTACCGCCAGGCCTCCCTGTATGTGGGTGACCTCCCTGCAGACGTCACCGAGGACATGCTCTTCCGGAAGTTCAACCCCGTCGGGCCTGTGCTGTCCATCCGCATCTGCAGGGACCTGGTCACCCGCAGGTCTCTGGGTTATGCGTACGTGAACTTCCTGAACCTGGCCGATGCCCAGAAGGTCCTGGACACCATGAACTTTGACGTGATACAAGGCAAATCCATCCGGCTCATGTGGTCTCAGCGTGACGCCTACTTAAGGAAATCTGGAATTGGGAATGTGTTCATCAAGAATCTGGACAGATCCATTGATAACAAAATGCTGTATGAACGTTTTTCAGCTTTTGGGAAGATCCTCTCCTCCAAGGTGATGAGCGATGAGCAGGGATCCAGGGGCTACGCCTTCGTGCACTTTCAGAGCCAGACGGCCGCGGACAGGGCCATCGCCGAGATGAATGGGGCGCTGCTGAAGAACTGTAGGCTGTTCGTTGGCCCGTTCAAAAACCGCAAAGAACGGGAAGCTGAGCTCCAAAATAAAGCCAATGAATTCACCAACGTTTACATCAAAAACTTTGGAGATGACATGGATGATGAGAGACTGAGGGAAGTTTTCAGCCATTATGGCAAAATCGTGAGTGTTAAGGTGATGACAGATTCCAGCGGGAAATCCAAAGGCTTTGGCTTCGTGAGTTTTGACACCCACGAGGCTGCCCAAAGGGCTGTTGAATATATGAACGGGAAGGACATATGCGGACAGATGGTTTTTGTAGGCCGGGCACAAAAGAAAGCAGAGCGACAGGCCGAGCTAAAACAAATGCATGAGCAGCTGAAACGGGAAAGATATGGGCGGTGCCGTGGGGTGAAGCTCTATGTTAAGAACCTCGATGAGACCATTGATGAAGAGCAACTCCGGCGGGAATTTTCTTCGTTCGGATCAATCAGCAGAGTCAAGGTAATGGAGGAAGAAGGACGAAGCCGAGGGTTTGGCTTGATCTGCTTCTCCTCTCCCGAGGAGGCCGCTAAAGCAATGGCTGAGATGAATGGCCAGGTCCTGGGCTCCCAGGCAATCAACATCGCCCTGGCCCAGCGGGCCTAGGACAGAAGGACTTCCTCCACCAGCCAGCGAATGCAGCGGGTGGGGGGATAAGAGATCTCTGCCTGCATCGTCCTCAGTCAAGTTTAATTCCCATGTGATGTCTGCTTAGTCAACTTTGTGATGAAAGGTTTTGTCTACAAAGCTATTTTTTTTTCTTTTGAGGAAAAGTAAATGAACCTGAGAAGGTTGGTTTATTTCACAGAGGCACATCTTTTAAAATAGTGTATATTTTTTCTTATTTTGATGTATTCATAGCAATGGGTATAAAGAGATGCATTTTTATTATACATTTTGAACCAACTGAAGTGAGGTAGTGGAGTATATTGCATATTTTCCCTTATTTTAATAATATTGGTAGCTTTATTTTCTTCTATGGAAATATGCTCAAAATAGTCCTTTTACCTAAGGATGGCAAAGTAATTTGTTTTTAGACACAAAAATTCTCTAATTTCTCATTGAGTTTTTATTTTGAGAAACCAACATTTTAAAAATGTCTAGTACAAATCCAGTATCTAATTTCATCTTGAATTAATGTTTAACATACTAGGAAATAGCTGAACTTCTTTTTTGTTTATGTCCTGACATGATTGATTTTCTGATGGTTGAAATTAATGATGGAGATTTTCAGTGTTGCCTACAAACTTGCTTTATAGGATATTTTGCTGTTCTTTCCATTGTTTGGCTGTAATTCAATTGCTTGCTAGTGATCAAAATTGTGACATGAATAGTAAAATCTTAACTTCTACATTCCTTAAGGTATAAACCTGTACCAATTTAAGCAACAAAAGTTGGCTTGCTCTTAGTTCTCTGCATACCCGTATAGCTTAATAGACTGCCTTAAGTTTTTAGCAGATACCCTATATTATAAAGTTCATATATATAGAACATAGAAATTATGCTTAACAGCTGTGTGTGTCTGTTTTATACTGTTCCATGTAGTGATATTGTCTCAGGGTTCAGAAAAAAGGTTGCTTTATTTTTATGAACTCTTGTCTCCCTGTATTAGACCATGAGAGCTATGTAACCCATTGAAGTTCATTTTTAGCCTTGATGGATCAGAAGCTCACTAACTGATTTTCTGATAAATTGAACTTAAGTCACCCTGTTTTCTAACATAATTTTTATTTTTGTTCCATTTTCAGACTTTTCCTTCTTCTTCTGCCTTTCATCTATACCACTTAGCTCATTTTTATACTTTTTAAAAGGGCTTTATTTATTATTGCTACATGCTATTTGAAACCCACTTGGAAACTTAAAGCAAAAAAATATTTATTTGCACTTAAATAATTACTTTTAAAATTCTACCTTGCTCATACCAAAGGTATCTAGAAAATAGTTTTGTTGTTGCTGTTTTTAACCTGCTTAGTTATTTTCTGTAAACACATAGTCAAATCTTCTGTTTCCTACATTAGCAGTACAAAGGAAATATTAAAAATATTGATAGTACTTTAGCTATGAAAGAATGAGAAACAGCTGTTTATTTTTGTATAAACTATATGTTTAGTAATCACACATTTTCTAAATTAAGGCCTCCTCTAGACAATGAAAAAATCATGGGCAATAAAAACAATTATAGCAACGTATAATCCTATCATGCAGATAAATCTGCTAAAAATTGATTGCCCATCATCCCCAGTTTTTTCTATGCATATACACAAAGAGATAATTTAAGAACAACAGAACAGTTATTTGAAATCACTTTTCTAATTTAACAATATGTTAGTCAACTTTTGTTTCCACCCATAATTGTGTGCTTGTAATTTTAAAAACTTCTATTTTTTTCATTTAATGTTTGTACCATAATATAGCAAGTTCCTGTTTGTAAATACGTGGGGTACTAGATCGCCCCTTCTGTCTGTTTCCTTCTATCGTAATCAGCTTTAGATACCCTTGCAATCATGACTGCTCGTCTAGCCAGATATTCTCCTAAGAAAATGTGTAACTCATCAGAATTAACATTTAAAAGCAATTTAAAATAGTTTTCATAAATAATTGCACAACTGCTGTCCGGAAAACTTACGCCACTTACGTGTCCATGGTCAGTGTGCTCTTATATACCCTGAAAGCAAGGGACTTCAAGTTGTAGGCCAATTCAACACGATATATACAACAAACTATCTCATGATTACTTTTACTTTTTTATTGCTCCAAAGCTAACCAGCATTTCTTCTTTTCACTGGCCATTTGTATTTTCATATTCATGAGCTAACGTTTTATGATCTTAGTCTAATTTCCTGTTGGGGCATATTTTATGTATATGGATTTATTAGATTTCTTTAGAATTAAAACGGAGTTGAAGACTTGTTCCCTCAATAGTCTCACTTTGTTTGTAGTTTGGAGGGTCATTGCACAGTTAAATATTTTAACTTAAAATGTTCAGCCTTTTTCTTAGATAAGTTTGATGCTATGTGTTAAAACACTTTGAGCACCTCAAATATCTTTACCCCAATACCCATGCAACTCATCTGGACTGTTTTCTGTTACTTTCAGAGTTTCCTATTCTCAGCATTTTATAAATAAAACTTCCGTGTAGAGAGTATCTTATCCACAAACTATAGTAAATCTTTTCAAAGTATCTTGCTTTTCAATATTTACTACGTGTCTCAGTAGATACTGATCTATTGTAAATGTTCACGTGAAACGTACCGTATATGCTAACTCTAGTTCATTGCTTTTATGAATCACTGTGTTGACAGTATTTACCTCCAAAGCAAAGTTTTTAAGAAAGCGTACCAGGATGGGAAGTGTACTGGGTGTGTCAGGCCTTGGCATCTCTTCCTGCATGACCCAGTCTATCAAAATGTTCAAATATTTGAACAATATTTCATAATGCTTACCGTGGCCGGGTAGCTCAGTTAGTTAGAGCGTCACCCCGATGTGCCAAGTTTGCGGGTCCAATCCTTAGTCAGGGTAGATGTAAGAAGCAATCAATGAATGCATAAATAAGTGGAACAACAAATCAATCTCTCTCCCCCCGCCCCAACTCCCTCACCCCTCCCTTTCTCTGGTAAATGGATTACCGAAATAATGTCAGGGACCTGTGTTCTCTCTTATGTGCACAAGGAATTAATAGGATGAGATATCAGATGTCTAGATGAAGTATAACCATTATTTTATGGCACAGTAATCTACCACTTAGTGGGAACTGCTTACTTTTCATTATTTAGCGTAAGAAATAATCAAAGTCAGTTTATAAAAATATGTGATACTGTGGATTTTCTTGATTAATTTATTTAAATGTTGCTTATTCTAAATTGTGTGTGTGATAATATCAAGTTTTCGTAGTTGGTAGTAGAGGTTCTTTCTTTCAAAAAATGTAATGTTTGTGTCCAAGTGCCTTGATTACGTGAGAATCCTCGCTTTTCTGATAAGCGTTCCAGTGAAAGCTAGTTTACATAGAGATGCCTTGAGCTACTGCTTCTACTCTGGCCTCCCCTCCCCCACACTCGGTGTCAAGTTGTTGTGGAGATGCCTGCTTGCATGTACAGCCAATTGAATAAATGTGCCTTTCGACATTTTATTTTTAAATGGAAATTTATTGTTGCTAAAAATAAGCTTTATTTAAAGTGGCTTAGATTTGTATTTTATGTTCTTAATATTTCTGTAAGTCCATGTTGAAAAGATCAAATAAAGTCGAATCTTTCAATGGTAAAGACATGTCTGAAAACAATTTCTATTTATTGACTTTCTACGTGTTTCTAATGTTTTAAAGGTCAGGGGTTTTTTTAGGAGTAAGCTGAAAACAACTTGCATTTCTTAAATGATGGTACACATATTGCATGTTTTATAGGACCAACTCTGATATGAACTAGCATTTCTTTGTTAAGTTACTAGTAATCATGGAACCGTGACTGAGAACCATTAATATAGATCAAGTTTTCAATTGATATTTTAAAGATGCCTCTGAATTGAATTATTGAAGTAAATTTGTTGAAGATTTCAATTTAGCTGACTTGTATTATATTTGGAAAATATGTTTCCTAATGTAATTTTTTAAAGTAGGTTAAAAACAGTAAACAAAAAGAATATTTGAAATCTACATTCTAAAAGGCAGAACAAATTAAATAGCCTGAGGATAGCTTTGGCTTCTTGTAAAGAAAAATTCCCAACTCACATTAGGAAAGGAAATTGTACCTAAAATATCAGATTTAACGTATCTTCAGGCGTGGTACATCAGGACGTCCATGTCGTATCTCTTGGGGTCTCTGGGTTCTCCCCTCCACATCTGAGCTTCATCTTCAGGCAAATGGCAAGATGGTCGCAGAAGTTGCCATCACACTGAGACACAGCAGCATTCAGGTGATGCCGTTCCTTGAACACTTTTAACAACCTTCCCCCTCAGTTTTCATCGTCCACTATCCATGCAGAGGTTTGACGAGATCTAGCGCTGAAACTGGGAAAGGAGTCAACGACCCAAGTTCTATGCTGAATGGGCTTATGATAGGAAGAAACATGTAGACATGGATGTAAGGATATCCATCCACTAAATTCTGGGTACTTCTTTAACATTATGTCCCTCTAATTTTGAATTCTGGTATTTAATATTGTTTCTTTAACTTTTACTCACAGATAGATTTTAAAATTATGTTTCCTCCCTACAAATAGTTTTCAACCCTTGAGCCAACCTGGTGATATTCCTCTATCGCAAGTTGTATGATCATAAGCAATACATTATGCAATGAATTCTGCATAAAATTCAATTCATTTTTGTTTGATAATGAAACTCATGTTTTTACACATTTTTATATTCTATTAGTTCTAAAGTATATCTGAAAAGGTCAGGTTCAATTTATTCACCCAAAATGGGTTTCCGAAAAAACAATTATCAACAGATTACAAATGGCCAAGAGTGTTTTGAAGTAAATCCATGTTTATTAAAAAGTTATATACTTACAAAATGGCTCTGATATCTAAAAAATAACCACTCAGATAAATTAATGGATGCTCATTTTCTCTACTAAAGGATTTATTATTAGGCTCTTTACTACATTTAAATTCTAAGAATTAACAAAACTGTACTTCCCCAAAGAATTTCAATATATTTTTCGGTACAACCCAAAGGTGGTATAACCCTCACACATTTTAACCATATAAATGTGCATTTTTAAATCCATATAAAGAAAATTCTGAATTACAATACATTAGGATTTGCATTGGTTATGTCAGATTATTTGCAGGTTTGCTGAGAAGGAAAGTTTATAGCTATATATTGGTTTTGTCTCATGTTCATATCTTATTTTGGAGTTCACAGAATGCTCTTAACTATATTGAAGTTGCCCTGAATGAAACAATTGAATGCATCAAGCAAGTGAAGAAAAGTGATCCTCTTAGTGGCATTCTTAGCCACAGTAGAGAAAATGTGTCACTTCTAAGATACATTGGCTGTTCGTACAATGATATTGCATCAGATTTTGGTAACCATTTTGTCTTTACATCACCTTAGATTCTGCAAATAGTCCCAGTTTGAAATTCTGCCAAGTACTAAGAGCTCATTTGAGTTTCAAAGTTTATGTCACTGAAATGGTGCATGTCATATATATATATATATAAATATATAATGTTTTGCATAAAGTTAATATTGGTCAAGATTCATGGTGTTGTCTCTGTGTGTGTGTGTGTGTTTGAATTGGTATTTCTAATGAGATTTGCTTGTCTCAGGAAACTGTATCTGAAAGTCTGCAGTGAATCACAATTTTTATTTACATTCCATTTTGTCTTTGTCAATGTGCCAGAGCAGTACCAAAGCCCCACGGTTTGACATATTGCCACTTCTAGTTCCTTGAAGTTAAAATCAGCCTTTAAAGTAGTAATTCCAGCAAAGCTTTCATAATCAAATACGTACTTCAATTTGAATTCAAGCCAGATCTTAGAATTATAACTAGATTATTTTTACACATCATTATTTTACTAAATTACCAAGGGAGGTATTAGAAATGATAATCTACTTGTATTCACCACTCTATTCACTAACATTTCATATATAATATTTATGTAAGTGACCTTTATATTGTACAGGTTACAATTAGTAAAAAGTGATTGGTGCTGAGGCTATATGGTAATCTTATTTTTGTTTAACCAAAGTGATTTTGGCAAGTGCAAATTTGATTATGTCATTAGTTTAAAAACCTCTTGTGGCCTTTCTTTAATCTTAAAGCCAGACTGTCAGGTGTAAATCTGTACCATGACCTGGGGGACTTTGAATTCTTTGGTCCCTGCCTGTCTTTTCATTTTTCTCTTATGCTACAATTTCCCCTGTTGCTCAACATGCTAGAAATCAGGTTTTCTTATTTCAACTCCTTTAAAGTGTCAAGCTCATCCCTGCCTCACCCAAAGCTTTAACATTTTATCAGATGGTATGCTGATAAAATGCTAGGGTGTGAGGGGTGAAAGAAATATTCCAAATGGTTTATCAAAAAAAAAAGTTTGAAGTGATTTATTACCAGATTAAAGTAAGTAAGAAATCATCTTTTTGTAATGGAAGGGTTTTTTTGTTTTTTTTGTTATTTTCCCCCTTCACAAGTGTCAAGGAAAGCTCCCAGAGGATGTCACTCAACAGAAGCAGCCGCAGTTTTTGTTGGTCTCTTTGTTTTCAATTAGACCATGCGGCATAGGGTTGTTAAGAGATAAAAGCAAATCTTTTGCAAAGGTCATGGAGGCTCACCTTTCAATAATTTAGAGTGTTATTTTTTAATATTTTATTAGTATTATTTTAAGTGACAACTCATTTTTTTTCCTCCCTAGGCTTTGTCATGTTTCAGGCTGTCATGTGGGTGTGTTTCTTTGTGGGAGTTCTGATCAAATTCTAACAACTCACGCTGGAAACTGCGCTGCCGCTGAAGAGGAAAGAGCACAGGAGTCATTAGAGGGATGAAGTGCGCCACAGAGAAAGTACATTTCACAGCAAATCATTACATCTTACCAAATCCATGGTTGGGTATCAGCTTGAGAGGAACACATAGCTGTAGCATAAACCTGAGAAAGCAGGCGCCAACAGATTTGGGAAAATCTACATATTGATGAAGGATATTGTTTAGTTTTTTATTATTTAAAATAGTTTTATTAAATAAAACAGTATACACATAGAAAAACAGATAAACAGATATTTAGGCGTATAACTTGATAAATAATACAAAATGAAGTATATTTATAAAAATAAAATTGAATACATCTCTTTTGATCCATGCAAGGCAGATGAAATGGCCATAAATTTTGTAGACTTTGAAGTACTGAACATTTGTCGTCAATAACTTATACCTTATATATTGAAATCAACCAGATAAAGATGCTACATTTCTCATAAGTTCATGGAAAATGGTCATGAAAATTGACTATTTTATGTCACAGAGGCTTGAGCAGGCAAAATATAACCAAAGACATTGAAATTGAGAACAGGCTGACAGTGACCAGAGGGGAGGGGATATTGGGGCAAAAGGGGAAGGGTTTGCAGGAACAATGATAAAGGACACATGGACAATGACAATGGGGGGTGGGAACAGGGGAGGAAGGTGGGGAGTATTTGGGTGGTGGGGAGGGGTGGGGGGAAAGGCAGAAAACTGTATATGAATCACAATAAAAATGTTTAAAAAATTAAAGGGCATTCTATGGACTCTTTTCAATAACACTAAATATTTATAACAAAATTTAAAACTATAAAAAACAAAAATGTTCTTCTATCTAGAAATTTAACATGGTGTTAAACAACTCTTGGATAAAACTAGAACTACACATCAAACTTCAACCTCTCTCAAAGTTGTAACAGGACATACTGGAGTCTGGGGTGAAACTAAATTATCAGAGAAAATTTGATAGCATTAAACATAGATCCGTATCAATTCCAAAAATAAATATAAAATAACTGAACACCACATTTTAAAAAAATTATTGAAAACCCACATTAAATTAAACCAAAAGAAGCCCTGGCCAGTGTGGTGCAGTTGGTTGGAGCGATACCCAGTAACCCAAAGTTGTAGGTTCGATCCCCGGTCAGGGCATATGCCTAAACTGCAGATTCAATCTTTAGTCTGGATGCGTGATCCCCATCCAAGCACCAGCCCCTGCTCCAAGCACACACAGGAGGCAACCAATGGATCTTTCTCTCTCACATTAATGTTTCTCTCTCTTCCTCTCTCTCTCTAATGGCAATGAAAAAATGTCCTCAGGTGAGGATAAAAAATATAATAATAATAATAAATTAAACCAAAAGAAGAGAATAATTTGAGAGCTTTTTGGTCATGTAGATAAGAATGATCAATTTAAGAAGATGAATTACTTATTTTTTCTTTTTTTTTTAATTAATTTATTTATTTTTAGAGAGGGAAGGGAGGGAGAAAGAGAGAGAGAGAAAAAAAAATCAATGTGTGGTTGCTGGGGGCCATAACCTGCAACCCAGGCATGTGCCCTGACTGGGAATCGAACCTGTGATGCTTTGGTTCGCAGCCCGCACTCAATCCACTGAGCCATGGCCAGCTAGGGCTGAATTACTTATTTTTCTTCCCCAAAGCTGAAGCATTAAAATTATAGTCATTAACACAATATGGCCACTATTTATCTATAAAGATACAAATCTTTAAAATTAAAATGTTTAAGACTTATCAATGGACATAG